ATGCCATCCTCCTGGTCCTCATGGCCCTGCTCACCTTCCTCTGAGCTGTGCTCAGGCCAGTGGGCCAGTGGTGCCCCGGGGCCTATGGTGTACATTTGTAAATAGCTCTCCAATTCTCCCTACTCTCTAACGCCCACTTATTTTTATTTATGTTCACTCTCCAATAAAACCCTAACCTCAGTGCCGCTGCCTGGGTGTAGACCCTCGGGGAAGGATGGGGCTGGTGCTGGGCAGAGGGTGTGGCGGACGAGGCTCCCCAGTGGAAGGAGCTACAGCAGGCAGACTGGAGGCTAGACGTCACCGAGTTCTGTGACACCTGTGGCCTGACCCCCTCACAGGGGCTTCCCTGACCCGCCCCCCCGCCTCAGCATCCTTGCCAACGTGGTCGTCACCATGAGTGTTGCCAAGGGGTGCCCTGTGCTGGGCACTGGGGGCAGCAACAGACACTGGCAGGGGGCCTGGCAGAGGGTCCTGAAGGAGGGGGGCTCTGCGGGGCGTGGGGGAGCACAGCCCCCACTGCCTATGTCTGAATCACCCTGAACTTCTCTTGGCTGTCACACAGAGGAGGCAAGGCCCAGGCCACTCGGGGCCATGGAGGTAGGCAGGACAGGCCCCCCACCGAGACAGGCCAAGGCTTCAGCAGCTCCCTGGGCCAGGACCCCCTCCTTCTTCCTTCCGCAAAGTTTGGGGTTCAGGCCATCCTTGCAGCAGTCTTTAATGGTTTCTGCGAGGATCCCTGGGGAATTCAGGAATGAGCTGCAATCCTACACAGAGAGCCTGGTGCTTGGCCCTGCCCCCAGGGGCCCCACCCCAGCTCTGCTGCCCCCTCTGGTCCCTTGTCCTGTCAGTAGCTCCACGCCATCCCCCTCCCAGTCCTCCCGTGACGACCAGGAATCCAGCAGAAATAGGTCTCAGAGCCCAGGCCCCAGCTCGCTCTGGCCCTGCCTGTCCTGGCCGTGATGGTGCGGCTGCCCACGGAGGTAGCCCCGGGTTCTCAGGCTGGCCCAGCATGTCCACGGCAGGCCTTCTGCAGTCGGACGGTCAGCTCCCCAGTGTGGGCCGATTCCTGAAAGGCACCCAGCCTCCTGCCGTGCTCAGTGACCATGAACAAATGAAGAGGCCTGAGAGGGCAGGGCCTCGCACACCACACACGCACACCCATGCTCACATGCTAGTATATGCACGCACTTGCACACCCACAGAGAAACACGCACACGTATGCAAGTGCGTGCACAGGCCCAGCTGGCCCGGCAGGTGCTGGGAGAACGGAGGCCTGGATATTTATGGAACATATCAATAAGCACTTAGCAGGCACCTGCTGTGGACCGGCCCTGGGAATGGAGTGGGGAACACACACTGAATTCGCCTCTGCTCTGCTTTGCCTGGGCATGTTCCTGCCAGGCAGGGAGCACTGCTTGGTGGCCCCCAGGGACTGAGCCATCTGAGGGCTTTTTCTCCAGAGCAGAGATGGATTCCGAGCCCCGGCGGGGAAGGTGGGGGCGTGGGGCAGCAGGTGCACTGAGGCCTGATGGGGGGACGACCGGGCTGTGGGTGTCCTGAGAGTGGCCCCAGGGACAAGTTCTGGGTCATCTTGGCTGGGAGCAGGGGCTGGCCTGGGTCCTGCAGCTTTGGAGAGAGGCGACCCTGCTGTGGGGAATAGAAAGAGCTTCAGGTCCTGCAGTGATGGGGGTCAGAGGAGGTTAGGTGGCCCATCTGCCACGTCTGTGGTGAGAAGCCAGGATGGAGCCCAGGTGAGGGCCAGGCCCCCCTTGGAGGAAGACTTGCCACCCTGCCCCTGCCTCCTCTTCCTGCTGTCTTAGCTTTCTCAGTGCCCTGGGGTCCCCCATCACCCCACCATCCTCCTGCCTCTGCTACAGGGCAGGGGTCTGGTCAGGGTCCTGTGGGCCTAACAGGGAGGAGGGGCGAAGATGTCAGGGCAGCCCAGTGCTCCCCAGTGACGCCCCACCCAGCCGGGCTAGGAGAGCGAGGCTAGGGTCCTGGGTGGGTCCCAGGCAGTGGCCAGTGTGCGACCCTAGGGCACAGATCCCCCACGCCCTGGGCTCCCTAAACCCAGGGTGGACACTCAACGAGACAGCTGCAGGAGGGGAAGGGACACACTCATGCAGAGACTAGGGGTTTAAAGGGAAGCAGGTTTATTCACACTGTTCACAGTGTGCTCAGTGCTGTGAAGGGGAAGGAGAGAAGTGCCCCCAGCTGTCACGGGTCCCCTCTCCCACCTGGGTGGGGCGCCACTCAGACACAACTTTCCATGCTGCCCCCAAGCAGCACCTTAGGGCCACCGCCTGGTGGGTGGGGGCCCCACCAGGGCCCCGCCGGCTGCAGGGAGAAGGCTTTGGAGTGAGAGCCGGCTGGCACAGACCCCTAAGCCGTGGCGGGCAGAGGGAGCGGGGCCCAGCCTAGGGCAGGGCCCACCTTGCAGCAACCAGAGCAGCCAGAAGGTGAAGCCACAGGAGGGGGCCACAACTAAGCCTGGAAATCCATGTGCGCACACACCATACTGCACGCTTAGGATCAGCCTGTGGGAGCCCCAAGAAGGAAAACCGCTGGGCCAGGACCCCAGGACCCCTGACCCCTGCTGGCCTAAAGGATCAGGGGTCAACCATGGTCCTGATGCCAAACCTGGAGCAGGCAGGGGTGCAAATCAAAGCCCCACCCCCCCCACCCCGCCAACCAGAGACACCCTCCCGACCCAGGGATTGTACACCAGCGTCCTGATTTGCAGTTTGTCTCAGGGAAGCATGGCTCAGTCCAAAGGTGCCAGAGCGGCACTGCCTCTGCTCACAGACGCCAGCCCTGGAAACACGACAGACACTCCAAGAAGGCTGAGAGTTTGGGTTGCAGGAGACTCTGGCATCTTGGGGTCAAAGACATCCTACCCAACCTCTGGGAGCCAGAGCTCTCCAGGGAACACGCAGAATAGGAATTTCCTCAAAGCCTTGGCATCCCCGGAGTTTCTGAAGAGCCACCACCAGGGGGAGCCAGAGTGGCTGTGGGGGGGTGGGGGCCCAGGGAATTTCAGAGAAATTTCTCTGAAGCTAGTGCTTCTGGCCAGGG